GAGAACGGGCCGTGTTACACTCAAGGTTACTTTGTGAAACACTGACAGTCAAATAAGAGCTGTTGAGTGAAGATCAGCCAATAAAAGTAAAGGTATTTTCTAGAACACTCTTTACTTAGAATTTTGGAAACAGAGGGGGACTTGGCATGTTATATAATACACACTTTAGAAATATTTAGCTTGGATTAACGAAGACCAGTGGTTACAGAAAGCTTGAAATCCTAGGGAAAAATGGTAGAGGTCACTTGGAAAAACACACATCACCACTATGACATTAATTACTAATTTGCTGGTGCCAGTGCCCAGTCCGCCTCGTGGAGCAAGCCCTGATCTCCTGGTCACTCAGGGTGGCACCAGTAATTTCCAGCTTGAAATGTGTTTGTGAGGTGTCATCTCTAAGTAAGTGATCATCGTGTGCAACTTACTTTGCACATACTGATTCTTCACTACGTTTTAAAAGACATTTTCCTTCCCTATTTGCCCTTTTCTCTCTTCTCCCCTCCCTTCGTCTTTGCTGCCTTTCCTCGTGTCCACCCTTTGTCCCCACTCCTTTGTTCTTCGGGGTCCACAGGCTAACGAACTCTCAACCAGCTGATAAGTTCCTATTTCCAGAAGGTACTTCCTCCTCAATAAACACTCTTGGTGGGGGGATTCAGTGAAGAATGACCCAGGGACCTGCCGCCAACCGGATCCCTGGGCCAGCGAAAGCCTGGAGTGGCAGAAAACCCCAATAATACCTAATATTATAGTTGCACATCCTGGCGAGAGTGAAAATGAATCAGAATTTGATCTGACTTTTTAAAAACTTACCTTTCTGTATTTCATTTATCAGGAGACAATTTCATAAATTTTACATACGTACTCAAAATCTTGCAGAGCCCTGGAGTATGTAAGGATTTGTAGTTTGCCCCTTTTTATTCATAAGACAATCTAAAATTTGAACTAGAAAACACTTGCTATTACCAGATGATGCAACAATGACTTTACTGAGGTGTGATTTCTCCTGATGTTAACTGGGACTCCCTTAGTGAGTGCTGTTATGCTTGGGTCAGAAAATGTAAATTACCTAAGGAAAACTCAGTCTTTGCATTTTGTTTTGTTTCTTTTGTTTTTAAGTAGAAGAGGGGTAATCAGTTTTTGTTTTTAATCCTTACCCGAGGATATTTTTTTATTTATCAGATAAAGTGGGAGGGAGGGAGAGAGGGAGAGACAGACAGACAGACATGGATGTGAGACACACTGACTGGCTGCCTTCTGCATGGCCCCGACCAGGGCTGGGGATGAACCACAACTGAGGTACGTGCCCTTGACGGGAATTGAACCCGAGACTCTTTGGCCTGAGAGCTGATGCTGTAACTGCTGAGCCAAACCATCAGGGCAAGGATAATCAGTTTTATTTGATTGGTTATGCAGTCTCCCTCCAAACTACTGTTGACTTTGTTTGTATTAAATTAAAAACTTGTTTGAATTAAGTTTATTGGGGTGACAGTGGTCAATAAGATCCTATGGGTCTCAGTGCACAGTTCTGTGAAACATCGCCTGCATAGCGCCTCGTGTGCCCAACACCAGTCAGTCTTCTGTCACCATGTGACTCCCTTACCTTTTACTACCTGCCTCCCTTCCCCTGGTGACCACCATATACTGTTGTCTGTGTCTATGAGTTTTCGTTGGTTTGTTGTTCTTGTTTGTTCATTTGTTGCTTTCAGTTTTATAGCCCACATATGAGTGAGATCATATTGTTCTTAAATTTTTCTGTCTGAGCCCTGGCCAGTTTGGCTCAGCGGTTAGAGTGTCAGACCGTAGACCCGGGTTCGGTTCCTGCTAAGGGCACATACCTTGGTTGCTCTTTGTCCCTGGCCCTGGTTGGGGTTGTGTGGGTGGCAACCAGTTGATGTGTCTCTCTCACATTAATGTTTCTCTCTTTCTCTATTCCTCCCTCTCTCCCTCCAGCTTTGTCTGAAGATATAGCAAAAATGTCCTCAAGTGAGGATTTAAAAACAAATTTTTTTTTTCTGTCTGACTTATTTTGCTTAGCATGATACAACTCCAGATCCATCCAGGTTGTTACAAAGGCAGTGTTTCATCTTTTCTTATGGCTGAGTGGTATCCCGTTGTGTATGTGTACCACGTCTTCCTTACCCATCCTCCATCGCAGGACACGCGGGCTGTCTCCATGCCCTGCCACGTGAATGATGCTGCAGTGAGCACAGGGGTGCACATATCTTTGCAAACAAATGTTTTCAAACAACAGCTCTGACAAGGGTTAATTTTTACAATATATAAATAACTCATACAACTGTTGACTCTTAATATATACTTAATTATGATTTTAAAGAGAAAATTAGAAAAAAAGTTTTTAGAAACATTTTATTATTTTTTAAAAATAAGTTTTCTTTATTGACTTTAGAGAGAGAGGAAGGGAGGGGGAGAGAGAGAGAGAGAGACATTGACGGGAGAAAACATCTATTGGCCACCTCCTGCATGCCCCCCACTGGGGATTTGGCCCACAACCTAGGCATGTGCCCTGACTGGGAATCGAACCAGCGACCTCTTGGTGCATGGGTCCATGCTCAACCACTGAGCTACACCAGCCAGGCTAGAAACATTTTATTTATTGATGCAGAATGGTATTTAGTATCAGAAATGGGCTTGCTTTGGCATTTAAGGTACTTTGTAATAATTTATCTTCTTTTAACTTAAATAGACTATATTAGAGTCAGAGGACCTGAGTAGTCAGTTTAGATTGGAAAATTAATTATTTTTCACAATTAAGAGAACTGTGCCTGGAATATGCAAAAGAAACAGGTATAAAAGAAGAAATTAATACTGAAATGGAAACCCTACAATGAATTATCCAGTACCCAGAGTGATTCAAAGATGTAGAGGTAACTTCCTTCATTAAAGTAACTTCTTAGACAAATAGATGGCAAGCATGTATTGAAGTCTGATTGCAAACTTACCATAAGGAAAGAGGCTTTTGAAAAAGCCAATCAATATGGTAAAGATATATTTTTATTGATTTCTATAGAGTGAGGAAGGGAGAGAGAGAGAGAGCAACATATCAATCGACTGCCTCCTGCACGCCCCCTACTGGGGATTGAGCCCACAACCTGGGCATGTGCCCTGCCTGGAAATCGAACCAGCAACCTCTGGGTGCACAGGATGATGCTCAACCAATTAAGCCACACTGGCCAGGGTGGTAGAGCTATTTTATGTGAATGTTGAATTGAAGATGATAAAACTGAACACTGTGGAGGGAAAAGGCAGGCATTCATTCTGTTATCCAAAACACTAAGTGGGCCCTGGCTAGGCTGGCTCAGTGTGTGTAGTGTCAGACTGGACCAAGAGTTTAGGGTCTGACTCCCAGTCAAGGGCACATACCTTGGTTGCAGGTTTAATCCCCGGTCCCGGGTCGGGGTTGTGCAGGAGGCAACCCATTGATGTTTCTCTCTCGCCTTGATGTTTCTCTCTCTCCCCCTCCCTCCCTTGGATGAGGATTAACAAAACTAAACCAACCAAAAGAATTAAAGATGCTAAGTGAGGAGTCACACAGTGGGTTTGAAAACACAGCTCTGACGTGGCAGCAACAGCTGATGCCACGCGGACGGACAGAGGGACTGGGCTGGGGCTCCGCAGGCAGCACGCGCACGCAGCACCGAGGGGCGTGGCCCCGAGCCCACAGACAGCGAGGCCGCGACCCGTGCCTCGGACAGCAGCATTGCCACTTCGATTTAACGTGCTGCAGACACTAGGACAAGGTGTGTTTTTGGCCTGCCTGCAAGCTGCTTCTTGCACCAGACGGTGAAATGCTAACCAAGGACAAAGAAAAGGTGGAAGTGCTCAAGTCCCATTTTATTTCCTCATTCTTCACCCATGAAAACGGATTTCAAGACGGCAAAGCTCAAACAAGCGACCTAAAAAGAAATCACGACCCATGCTGGGTCAGGAGAGTTGACAAAGAGTGAAGTGTTCTTCATGTGGTCAGATGCCCGCGCCATGCGTGCACCCGGGTGGTGGGGTGTGCAGTGGTCGCCCGGCTGTCCCCATCAGTCATTTCTGAGGAAGAGTGGAGACTGACGATGAGGACGCTTCGAGAGGCACAATGTTGTATCCATTTTCCAACCTGGGGAAAAGATAAGTTCTGAAAATGACGCAGGATCAAGCCACGGTTGACTTTTACTATTAAACAGAATGTTAAGCAGATGGCTTGCAAACATTGTGAACAGAGTGGCAGGCCCTAGCTGTCATCTACTGTCACTATCCATTGTTCCATGCATTTTCATGACATCCGTGTCACCAAAAGTAATTCAAACTCGTTTTCTTCTTTGGAAAAGTCACCCACTGGTGGATGGGGAGCATCGGAGACAGACTGATCGGGAAGGTATCTGTGTGATGCTCCTGCCTGCTGGTGGTCATGCTCCCGAACCACTGTGCGACCTGAGAACTTCCTTCCCAAGCTCCTCCCGCCTCTGTCTCAGGAGACGGCCACCAAACGACCAGTCTTCTGAGAGCGAAGCCTCTTCGTGTCCTTCATTCACGGTTCCCCTTTCTGCCCTGGACTAGGTGACCCCTTACCTTGCCCCCCCTGCCCAGGGCCATGCTCCGGGCTGCTGCTGGGCTGTTCTAAGGTGAGGTCTGATTGTGCGGAGAGTTCTGCTGGCTCGTGGACGGCACAGGCGAAGTCCCGGCACCCACCATGCACCCCGCCACCGCTCCGGCTTCCCTGGCAAAGCCGTCCCGCCTGGGGCACTGCGGCTGCCGCGAGGCTGCCCCAGCGCCATGCCCTGCAGGGATGATGGCCAAGGCAGGCTAGCCTTCGTCCAGACCTCCGTGAGACGGCCCTGGCGTTATGTGGACGGTTCTACTAAACCACCTTCAGGATCTCCCTGCACCAGCTCTAAGAATCGGTGACTTTATAGGAGAAAAGTGTAATCTTTTCCTATGTGGCTATATTCCCTTGATTTAGCTGAAAATCTTTGTCACTTCTTTATGTGTTTTAGGCTGATGTTACATTATGGATTTGTTCGAAATGCACGGCCGTCGCTCGTCGTCGGAGGTTTTGTCTCACGTGGATTATCCTGGCCTCGGCACTTGATGTGGCAGAGAAAAGCTCCCGATTAACACCGTGGCCGCGACTCGGTTTTCACACACATTCTCTTTCCTCCACTGAAATAGCGTTTCGCCTGGATACACAGCAGCCTCTGACCTTCCACCCTCCTTGGACTTTGGGGTGACAGAGTTCTAACTGTGACAGAAGTGTGGGCCACGGACCTTGTGTGAATCCTCAGTGAGTCCGGCTTCCCTGATCTGATGGCGGCGAGGCTCCCCATCCTCGAAGGCCAGTGCCACGCTCCGGGCTGGACGAGCGACAATGTGCGTCCCCACACGGTGGGGGGCTCCTCCCATTCGTAGCAGCCCCAGTTCTTGAGAGGAAAACCTGTCTTGTGTAAGCCACTATAATTTTGGATCTTCATCTTACTGAGCAGTGAAAACCCTATCCTAAAAAGATGCAACAGGTCTTTGTTCCATAACCCAGGAGTTACAAACCTTACCTTCTGTGTGGCGCACCGAAACTGGCATTCAGGTGTGCAAACACAGAGAGCCGAACCTTGGGAGCAGGTGAGGTGAGGGCCCTGCGGTCTGCACAAGGGTTTTAGAAGGAAGGAGCCGGACTTGTGGACAAGGAGCGAAGAAAAGGGGCCGAGCACTTACAGAGCACCTGCTGTGTACCAAGTGCTGCGCCAGGGGCTTGGCACACAGCACCTCGTGTAGCCCCTCACTTGGTATCGTCAGCGGTTTCATAGCTGGAGAAACTGTGACTTAGCAGGAGAGTTTGGCCACTGACTAGTGGGGGCAGAACGAGTGTTTAGCCACAGGTCTGATCTCAAAGCCAGGTCGTGTCCCTCTGTGCTGGGAAGGAGTGGGGTGAGATTTGGAGTGGGGACTCCATTGTGGTTCCTTAGGGGGTTCTATTTATTTGAGGGCCCCCTGGGGAAAATGGTGCAAACGACTCTGACTCAAGGATGGACCTCAGGAAGCTGTACCGCTCCAGCAGGAGACAGGACACTAAAGGTTAGGAGCATCAGGGCACCTGGACCTTGTCCTAATGTCCTGATTCATGTCCAGTGGAGAGGGGATGTGTTTATGGGCAAGGCAGGCTGACAGGGTTCAAATATTCTCAAACATGTTCTTATCCAGGTCCCTGAAAAAGGGGGCAGTAAAAATGGAGAGAGAGGGATGCATCAGGAAGTTCAGTGCAGACCACTATGCACCCCAAGACCAGACCGAGGGAGAAACCCTCTTGTAATTCCTAGGGATGTGGGAGCCCCAGGAGACTGGTCTTCGGATTCCGGGGCAGGGAAGATGCCTAGAGAACAGTGCCCCACGTGGTAGAAGGGAGAATAGAGTAGCTGGGAAGATGGACAGCAAACTGGAGTGGAGAGAGGGCAGCTTGCCTGAGACATGGAAGCTGGGGGAGAGGAGGGGGTCTGGAGGTGAGGGTAGGGTGGGCCAGGGCTTGTTTTTCCAGCACAGGACTGATGAGGGTTCAGTGGGATGGTTACTTTAGCCTTTAGTTACTTCCAAGCCCCAGGGAAGGGAAGATTACTTGTAGAAGATGGAGAGGATATACCTAGGGATGGTAGAAGCACATTCTTGAGACAAGCAGGAAAACTCGGATTGTCTCTCCTTGAGTGAGACCCATGGACCGTGCCCAACACTCCTCAATGGCCCGGACGGTTGGGAGATATTTGCCTTGAGGCTGGGGAGTGGGGAGCGCAGAAAGAAGGGAACCAGCTTGGGAGGGCTGGGGTCCAGGAGGCATGTAAGTCAGCTGAAGTGAGGGGTCTCTGGTGTCTGGAGCCTGGGGTCTCTAACGGAGCCCAAGCCACCCAAAGCTGGGCTCTAACCACGCACTGTGGCTGGGACCAGGGTCTGCTGTATGACCGTTCATAACCTCATGCTGTACGAAAGTAATCTTTTAAAAAAATTATTAATTTATTTTTCTTACAGGTGTTTCTCCTTTTCCCCTCTAGACAGCCTCCTCCCGATGCCCCGCATTGTTGTCCGTGTCCATGGCTAGGCGTACATCACGTCAGTCCTGTGGTTTATCTCCGCCCCGCGCCCCTCCGCTCAGGGTTGTCAGGAAAGGAACCTTGTGGGCCGAGCACTTTGCTCTCATTGCCTTGTGCACAGGGTACGAGGCCCTGGCGTGAGCGTCCTGGAGGGGCCTCGAGGGCCACGGAGAATGGCAGCAGGGAGGGTGACCCCAGCTGCAGCGTGAGTGCTGTCGGGCCGTGGCAGCATGGAGCAGGGAGTCTGACTGAGGACCACGGGGATGGCTGGCTCGAACTTTTCAAAGCCCACATTATGCCGTGAAGAAAAGGCACAGCAGTCTCCTGGGCTGTCCATTCCGTGAGCAGTAAACCCTCTTCAGGAAGAGGGCGTGGGCAGGTAGAAACAAAGGTGCCACTTCTACCCTGTCCCTAAGGCTTTCGCATACCGAGCAAGTTCAGCGCATGCCCGGCACTGGCCTCCTGGGAGGGCATGGAGGCGGCACCCCCAGCTCTCCTGGTGGCTCATCCCCTTTGTAAACCATCGTGTTTTATGGCATCAGTGGGGTCTGGAGCCCTGGACTGAATCAATAGTCATTTCTCCTGCCTCAGCACTTTTGCACTCACTCTGTATATTAAGCAGTATTTTAGTGCGTTGTCTGATCTTTGCCTCTTAGACTGTGCATCCTCATTATAAATTCTCCTGTTTGACCATGATCTACACCCAAGGCCAAGGACTATTAACAGCACTTGTGAATGTCCCCCAAGGATCTCACAAAATGTCCCGAGATGTGGAAACCAGGACTGCCCTTGTGTTCGGGGCTGGGTAGAAGGTGGGCAGCAGTCTGCAGCCTGCTCCGACCTCACGTTACTCGTTGGTTTGTCGATATCGTGAAGTCATCCCTCATTCTGTGTGTGGGATTCGGACTTGCGCCTGTGTGCAGTTCAAGTCTGGGGCCCGCTAAGCCATCAGATAGAGGAACATCACTGGAGTTCTGATGACACCACGTTTTCCCGCTGAAACACCCCTGTGCGGTCTCTCTCACCAACAAGTCTTCCACGGGCAGAAGTCTGTCTGAGGGACTGCTTCCTGTCTTCTCTGTCTTGGGGACGGGGTTCCTCTCATTGCTCTCGGGGCCTGTGCTGCTGGTCAGATCCGCTGGGAGAGGACGTTGTGGGCTCACCGTGTCGCCCTGACCCCTCTCCGGGTGTAGTGGGTGAGGAGCTCTAGGCAAACTGACTTGGCGGCTGTAGGCTTTGTTTTTCCTCCCTCTCTCCCTCCCCACCCAGGACATTCTCCCATTTTTTGTTCAGGTACAGTGGGAGGGAGAGAGAGAGGAAGAGAGAGTGAGAGAAAAACATCGACATGAAAGGGACACATCGAGTGGCTGCCACCCGCAGGGCCCAACCAGGGCCGGGGACAAACTGCAACCGAGGTTCGTGCCCTTAGCGGGAACCGAACCTGGGTCTCTCTGGACCGCAGGCCCACGCTCCAACTGCTGAGCCAAACCGGCCAGGGCGGCTTTGCTTACTTTCAGAACAGCTTCTCAGTATGAGTCAGACCTGGGAGTTTGACGGGTCACCCTCCTCCCAGGAGCTCTGAAGTGAGACTCCTGTGGGTCCCGCTGTGGGTCCCTCCACGGCCGCCGGGCTGTGAGCGCCCCGCTGTGCCTGCGCTTCCCTCCTCCTGGACTTGGCCTCCTCTTCTCCCTCCAAGTCTGCTCTACTTGCCGCGTGACCGCCCTTCCAGCAGTCACTTTCCAAAGACGACCCTCCTCGCTCCGCTGCCTCAGTCCCGAGTCCCGCCCTCCCGCCAGGGGCCCGGAGCAGACACGAAGCCCACGCGGAGCAAGTCACTGCTGTGCAGGCCGCTCCCGCAGGCCTGTCCTCTGGGGGCCGTCCCCCTTCTCCCACCGGCTGCTGGGCTGGAAGCAGGGCCTTCACTGTGGACAAACATGTTGGCAGGCGGAGGGGGCCAGCTCTGTACCTTTGAGACTTTTTAAAACGTCGCTAAGCCTTGTCTGCTTCGTCTCTGAAATCAGGGTAAGACGAATAGTTTGTTGAGAAGCTTCAGGGAAGTGGCATCTATGCAACACTGAGCTGTGTCCAGAACTGCGAAGGGTCCGAGGTGTTACCTACTTACAAGCTAACAAGTGGCTTGTGACAGCTCCGGATGCCGACAGACCACACCCGCCTCGGGGTCAGAGGCAAGCCCGCTAGACTGGCAGCGGGGCAGCCGGCTCGGAGGTTGTGCTGGCTACTGAGCCCCGCCCCCCACGTGCTGGCCACCGAGCCCGCCCCCCCACGTGCTGGCTACTGAGCCCCGCCCCCACGTGCTGGCCACCGAGCCCGCCCCCCACGTGCTGGCCACCGAGCCCGCCCCCACGTTCTGGCTACTGAGCCCCGCCCCCCACGTGCTGGCCACCGAGCTCCACCCCCCACGTGCTGGCCACCGAGCCCGCCCCCACGTGCTGTCCACCGAGCCCCGCCCCCCACTGCTGGCCACCGAGCCCCGCCCCCCACTGCTGGCCACCGAGCCCCGCCCCCCACTGCTGGCCACCGAGCTCCACCCCCCACGTGCTGGCCACCGAGCCCGCCCCCCACGTGCTGTCCACCGAGCCCCGCCCCCCACTGCTGGCCACCGAGCTCCACCCCCCACGTGCTGGCCACCGAGCCCGCCCCCCACGTGCTGTCCACCGAGCCCCGCCCCCCACTGCTGGCCACCGAGCCCCGCCCCCCACTGCTGGCCACCGAGCCCCGCGCCACCGGCAGCCGCAGGCGATGCCGCACACAGCGGGCTTGGTCCAGGCAGGAACTGACCTTGGGGAGCTCAGTTTGTGTCACGGGCAGTAAGTAACCGGCTCTTCTGCGCAGGTGGAAGACCGAGTCTGTTGTCCAAGGCTGTGAGCTCCTTAGGCAAACGTCCTGGAAAAGACGGCCCAGAGCACAGGCTGCGGGGCTGTCGCAGGTGTGAGCAGTGCAGGGAGCCAGCGAGGGCGGTCTCCCAACACGACGGCCTGGTCGGTGCGGTGGCGGATCTGAGCTGTCGCCGGCGTTAGCCAAGGGCTGCCTGGCACCGCGTGTAGCGCGTACTCGGTAAAATGGCCCCTGCCAGG